AAACTCTTAAGGGATCTTCAGACCCTTGAGTTTCAACACCAACAACTCAACTTAACAACTTAAAATAACCAAGATTAATGTAACACTATCACAACTTATAGTCTTATATAAAAATAAAATAAAATAAAATTTGGATGACTAAATATGAATTTTAAAATTTTGAGATGGCTTAAAAATATTCTAGCATATATTTTGATTAAAAACCTTTTTAAAAATCCTATAATAAATATTTTTTTAATGATGTTAAGATAAAAAATATAAAAAAAAAAACTAAATTATATATTTTAATGTAAGAAAAAAAATGACACTAATATTTACATTCCCTAAAAAGTGTAATTTATCCTATATTTTGATACATAGGAAAAAGGTTTGCATCTCACATAAAAAGAAGTATAATTTATTACGCTAAATTAAATTATATATTTTGACAAAAGTATTTATTTAAATATACTAAGTTATATTTTAAAAAAAACTGTGAAGTAATATAATTTACTCTTAAATCAATTTTTTTAAACATAATAAACCTTTCTAAACTATTCATACATTTAGAAACAAAATTACAAGTCAGCTGTGACTATAAAAGATTATAATTTTTCCTTATTGATCTCGTATTCAATCATATTTATAAGGACAGAAAGCCAAGTCATAATTTTATAATGACATTATTACTTTTTGCAAATTTTATATTATTGTACTTGTAAGTTTAATATATCTTTTTAACATCTATTGATATTACCAAACATATTATTACATAATATATTTGATAGTATAGCTCAACTAGGTCAATACTCAATAGAGTAGTGTGTGTGAATATAATAAACTTTTTGGTATCAAATTATATTATCGTATTTAAAAAAAAAGTGATAAAGATGTCACTGCATTCTTTCAAAAGATAAAAATGTCTCAAGTTTTGGAAGTGGTTGATAAAAGTTTTACATAAATTGTGAAAGGGCACAAATAAACTATTAAAAACTAATATAAAATTTATTTATGGATTTAAAAAATTAACATTTTTACAAATTTTAACTGTGATTTGACTTTTTTTTCATCTATTGAAGAATTATGTGTATTCATTAATCTTTATATATTAAACACAAATTTTTATTTTGTGAAAGAGTATTTTTTAAAAATATTCTTTGAAAAGATTTTTAGAAATATTTTAGCTTCTTATCTAATTTGATTTTTATTTACATAATTATTTATAAATTAAGTTTTAATATTTTTAAAATAAATAATAAATAAATAATAATTATATTACAATAAATGATTTATTATAAATTTAAAATATAATTTATATATTTAAAAGTAAATATTTATACAAATTTTAATTATAATTCTTACAAGCAAATATAATATTTTATTTGTATATATAATTTATTATAAATTTTATTTACATACAATAAATAATGTAAGGACTAAAATATTAGTGTAAATATAAGTTTACTACTTCATTTTTGTGTAAATATACTTATAAAACTTTTTAAATGTTCATTAGAATGGTATAATCATACATATAGATAGATAAGCGTACACATATCTATTAACTTATTTTTTTTATAGTAAACAATACAATAAAAATCACAAAAATATAAACAAATCGTAAATAGTAAATTTAATAATCGTACATGACACAAATTATTAGGCCCATTTTTTTATACACTTTCTTAAAAAGTAATTCTTGACTCTATATATATTGTCTAAACTGCTTTTTTTAAAATTTAAGAAACAACTCGAATCTACTCAAATTTCTTTCTTTAAAATCGCTGTGTAAACCCATTTTTTTATAATAAAAAATTTTTAAGCAAACTGATCCATTTTTAAAAATTGATTGTTAAAACTTTACATAATCTATTTTTATCAAACCTATTTAAATTTGCTTCTGGTTTTAACAAGAAAAAAAATATTCATACACTTATATTTGTTATTCATTTATGTAATTCATCTAATTCTAATTCTTCTAGTATAAATATAAACACAAAAAAAAAAAGTAATTAAACACATCAAAGAAAAGCAAAAATACATGGGAAGATAAAGCACTTAAATTGATTTTAATTGATTAATAACTGGAAGTGTTGAATTACTATTAAAACGATAAAATAATAATAGTAGTAATAATAATAATTATTATTATTATATAAAACTTTTCATAATCTAATTAAACACTATTTTTCAATTATTAACCAAAATTAAATTCAGATTATTTTCCTTTAACAGAAACAAGAAATATAAAATAAAAAGGTCTGTATTCAATCATTAGGGGTTGGGGGAACTAAGATGTGACTTTAAAACGAGTCAAGATACAAATTTGCAAAAAGTATTTGATTTCTATTTCACTATAGCCTGTTTTTCAAAAATCAACCACATATATGAATATATCCCAATTTTTTCCCAATCAAACTATACCAAACACTGAAGCTTGTTTTTAGATCATAAGGATCCAAGTATTGGGGTTGACTTCCATCTCTGCTTGAAACAAACCTCCTTTGGCAAGTATCCTTCAAAATCACGAGGAAGAAGGAAAAAAATTAGTCTGACAAAATAATTCAAAAAAAAAAAGTTTGAAATGTATAAGCCCCAACAATAATGCTAAAGAAATCATTATCTATAAATCTATAAATAAGTTATAAATTAGGAGCTAAAAAACTGAAAATTTATAAGTTTAGTTGATTAAATTAGAAGTTTGATAAGACTAGTTGATAAACTAATTGGTAAATATAATATGATATAAAACATATTTAGTTATTTGAGGCAACAGAAATTTCAAATAAATTAATAAGGATAAAAATAGAAAAACAGTAAAATTTATTTTTTTATAAACTAACTTATTTTCATAAGTTACTTCAAGTAACTTATCAAAATAAGTTAGAAGCTATTAAAATAAGCTTGTATATCAAACAAAAACTAGTTTATAAGCTAGTCAAACTAGCTTTGTCAAACAAACTCATAATTCATTCAAAACAAGTATAAATAGTTGCATAATTATATATACTGCCATTTTCAAAAATTATATAACCCCGGGCACAGCATAAAAGTACTAAACAAAGGTTTAACAGTAAAACTTTGCAAAGGGTTAATCCTATTAGTTGTCATCTTTCAGTGTGCTTTCATGTTATGGAGCAGAAATGAAAATAAGCCACTCTACAGAATTTCATTCAAAAGAGAAAAAGTGATAAGAGTCCGAGCACCTAAAAAAAAAAGTTTAATATTGATCTTGTAATTTAACACTATGCCTCCTTTGCATAGTTATGAAGTTGTTTGTTCATCTTGTAAAGAATTTTATGGAACGTTATTCATCATTACTGCAAGCCACTCAACACTCCTTACCGGTTACAACCTATATGCTCCAAAAAAAAATGATAAAAACCAATAAATGGTGAAATTCATAGGGTGTTTGGCAAGGCATTGAAAGAACTTACGAACTAATTTGACCAAAATAAATTTGTTTGGTACACAAGCTTATTTTAATGGCTTATTATTTAAGTTATTTAAAGTAGCTTATGAAAATATGTTAGCTTATAAAGCTTCTAGCTTTTTTGTTTTTTTATTTTTAGGCTCATTAATGTTTTTGAAATCCTATTCTACCTCACAGAATCAATTATGCATTTTATGTTATTTTTCCATTTATCAGCTAGCTCATCACCTAATCTTATCAAATACTTTCAATTTGATTGATTAACTTGGAAGCTTTTAGGTTTTCAACTCCAGCTATAAACTTTCAGCTAACTTATTAGTTTTACTTACCACACCCTCATTCTCCACTGCCTACATGCTCCACATTCAACAAAAAATTAAATGCCTAAATACAAATTTAAATTGTCAACTTGTCATTCCATCAAAAATCAAAGTTGGGTGTGTTTGATAAAACTAGTGTAGAAGCTAGCTGAAAACTTAAAAAGTTATTTGAAGTTTAAAAGTTATATGCTAAGAGCTGAAAAGCTAAAATCTTCTAAACAAGATGATTAAATTGAAAGTGTTTGGTAAGATTAACCAATAAGTTAGCTAACAAATGTAAAATGAAATAAAAGGGAAAATTTAGTTGTTTGCTGAAAAAATAGATTTAAATAAATTAGTCAGGATAAAAAAAAAACAAAAGAAATAATAGCTTATAAGCTGGTTTATTGTCATAAGCTAGTTCAAGTATTCATAAGATACAAGCTACTAAAATAAGTTATGAAACACCAGGGACATCGGGCACAACATGGATTAAGAATTATATATTCACATTCTAAAAGTAAAGTTGTTAGGCTTTACAATTTTCATATAACAATAGCCCTCACAATAACGATACTACGAGGGAACGAGAGATATTTTCACAATGCAATCCTTACAAAAAAATAAATAAATAATAATAATAAATAAATAAAAACAAGATAAGAAGATGAAACATATCTCTTAAAACAACTAGTTAAGTCCTATAATAATCCTTACAAAAAAATGCTAGAAGGCATCATCATTTTCGCTCAAATGTTTGTTATTGTCACATTTCAATTCTGTATTCAGATGTTTATTAATATTTTAAATAATTTTTAATATTTATAATATAATATAATAGGAGTGTCGAGAAATGTCCAGCCAAAAGAAGGTCTTAGCTCAGTGTCTTGGCCCGTGTATGAGCCATATCAGAGAAGTGTCCAACGAATGTTGGGCAAGTTTTGATATCTGAAAAGTGTCTTATACATGACATGCCCTTGAGCTGTTGTGTCAGTGTTTCCCAGAAAATAAATTTGCATACCAAACAAGCTTATTCTAGTCAAGGAGATGCCTTTTTTTTCACTTTCAGTTGATACATTTTTCACAAATTATTTAAATAATGCCATATTGTTTTCACTATATTTCCTATTTTTAAGAATTTGCAAAAGAAATTACAAAACAAGATACTCTAAGTTTTACATTAACTAGAATTTCCACAGCTTGTGTGGTACTTGGTAGCCAAGATGGGACAAGGACAGATATGATAAGCAAGCTGAATAAGAGTGGGAAAAAATAGTAAAATACAAGTCTGATGAACTCTTACTAGAGTGTTTGATGCATACCAGCTAACCAACCAAAATATGTTATAAATTGTATTCAAATGACCAAATTACTCTTATGACAAAATCACATACACACATTATACAGTGGTCCATTTTTAAATTAAAAAATATATATTGCTAATAACATCCTCCAGAACACCATAATCAATACTGGCAAGCTTGCAGCTACTTTATCATCACAAGAACCATCACTCTGCTCAAAATGAAGACTACCTATCAGAAGGTCCTAACTTTTTTGCCTTATTACAGCCACCTGTCTCTAAAAGCTCATTCCAACAACCACTTCAAGCACCTCCTTGCCACTCTCTTTGTCTCTCACAGCTGATGGAACTGAAACCTGCAGTTCATCCTGTGCAGAAGGCCCAGGACAACAGTTTGGGTTCAGGTTCAAAGAATAGGACTCTGAACCAAGGCATGGGTCTTCGTAACACAAATACAAACAATGAACTGGAGCCCCAAAATTATCACAAGCAGTGGCAGTTTGAGGTTAAGTTTGAGAGAGTGAAAAGTGTGGTAATTGGTTCATTGAGGGTGGTTTTTAGGCGGGGGGGAGAAATGTTATTGCAACTAAAGTAGGCAAAATGAACTAAACTAAACTTATAAAAACTGTACTAAACAGAAGAAAAAAAAACTTAGCCTAAACTGAACTAAACTATTTTTTCGTTTCATTAAACTGAACTATACTTCAAAAGTTTGAATTGAACTACGATCCAAACTAAAGTAAATTATTTTGGTACTTTGAATTGAACTGTTTTGACATGTTGATCTGTTAAGCCAGACCAAATTCGTCTATTTTATTTTATTTTCTATTTTTGTTTTAAATTTTAAAATTGAAAATATAAAAAAAATATTGGGCCAAACAGACTCGATAGGCTTTATTCAAGTTTAAAAATTAGTGGCCTAATCTAGTTGGTCTACTAGGCCTGGCCAAATTGGCACTTTATGGGCCACTTTTTCAAAGCCAAGGCAATTGGGCCATCAAAACAAACCATCATTGACACCTCTAATATTTGCACTTCTATAAAAACAGTTCAGTTCAATTTTCAAACAATTCAATTCAGTTCAAATTTCTTTTGCCCACCCCTAACTGCAACTCAATGAAAAGGAAGACTAAGTAGGTCAAGGAAGAGAGGGTTGGGGGTGAGGGTGGGTGGAGAAATTTTTATCTATCCTATCCTACTTTCTAATACCACTTGATAAATTATGTACTAATGAGCTGAATAGCATAAGCTTATTCTATCCTATTGGATCACCAAACAAGGGATTTGAAATAGGATGGGATACCTTATCCTACTCAATTTTTCTTATCCTAGCCACCAAAGGCCAAACAAGTACTGAAAAGAGAGATGATGCAAACAAATAGCAATGACCATATTAAATAGTTCATCAAACTTTTGAACATGCTAAAAAAAGTGAAAATCAGTAAATCCGGACTACATACTAAAATTAAAGGCAATCGGTATAGTTGTCATCCAAAAATCTCAAGTCATAGAAAACCTATATGAGCAGAGTAAATGTAAGAAACTTGGTAGAAACTTGATGGAGTTAAGTATTATCCACTGATTAGAAACTTCAACCAATCATTGAACATATTTTTTGAATTTTATTTTAGAGTGACATATGATCAGCTAAGACAAGCAAAGTAAAGGATATAATTGCATTACAAATACAATCCAAAAAAAAATTATTATAGTAATAAAGAGAGAATATATTATTTAGGAAAGAAGGGGATTAATGAATACCTTTTAGACAGTCATAATCTCGAAGTCTGCATGCTGAGAACAATTGCGGAAGTAGGCAGTTATATGGTCAAGGTTGTTGATGAAGATTTTATATGTTGATCCCACTCCAAAGTTCAATGACTTCAATTTACTAGAAGACGAACGTTCTGGCTTTAACAGGGTTGCATGTCCACAAGTAACCTGAAATTGAAAAAGTTATTTTTAAAGATTAAACACAGGCCAACAAACTATATTTCATTTGACAATTCAACACAAAATCCCATTCTCCCACAGACACAGAATACGTGTATGTAGTCAAATGCACATACGTATAAACGTACAAATAACTTTTTTTCCATACCTTTACTGTACAGAAGGATAGTTTAACAGCTTCTGCACTATGACATCCCCGTGACATACTGATCAAACCATGTAAAGTCTCCTCTATTTTCCTTGGACGACATTTTTCCACTCGATCGTGTGGTTCATGGATATCAATGATTAAGCCATCATAAGAAGGAAGACAAAACTCAAAGAAGGCACAAGGTGTAGAATACAAGTAAGTAAAATTGGAAAGCTGTGGTGCAGCAACTACAATCTTGCATTTGAAGCGGTTGCACACTAGATTCAAGTTACTGAGTTTAGGGGCAGATATCACAAAATCTTTAGGGTTCAAATCTGACTTAAAGGACATTTCACTTAAGTGCAAAGTCTTCAAATGGACACAATTAGCAAATGGATCCAGACAGTCAAATCCTGTATAACACAGAGTGAAGCTATTGAGATGCAAAGTTGTCAATGTAGTAAAACCAAAAAGTTCTGCCAAACTTGCAAATGGATTTGAAAAGTCAGATGTAACAGGATACATTGGAAACTGTTCCAGATGCAACATGTCCAATGATTTGCAACCTATAGGGGATGACACATTTGTCGGATGACAATCTTTTAACTCAAGCTTTTTCAAAGATGGGCAAGTAAATAGAGCCAAAGGAATTTCAACAGGAGGACTGCCAGATGTTTTTGCCCGTAGATTGATTTTGATTTCTTCAACCCCATGACATGTTGCATACTCAATAACCTTATTCAATAAATTTTGATCCGTCGCATAATCCACCCCAAATCGATAGTAAATAAGAACTTTGACATGAGAAACTTCACGATGGTTTAGGACCCACAGCACAAACTTCTTGAAATCAACCAACCGCAGGAATGGTTTGCTGGTAAAGTTCAGGCAGGGAACTGAAGCCCAAAGATACCTCCACCTCTTCGATAAAACACAAGTTTGAATAGCATCTTTTGTTTCCATGAATGACAAAATATGATGGATAAGACAATCCGGCATGTCGCTAAGTCTGTCCTCACCTTCTGCCATTTCACAATTATCTACATCTTGAGAAGCCAAGGTTTCGGTCTTTGACTTCTTCAAGACAGGACCAGATTCCTGGGAATCAACTTTCTCTATTCCAGCTTCACAGCACTCCATTGAATCAGTCTGGTTGAAGCTGCCAATCATATTCCCTATCAAATCATTTCAATTTTGAAATGATTCAATGATTAGCAGCACTAATCCTCTATAAAGAATCTGACAAAACAAGAAATTGAAAGAAAAGAACGATTAAGAAAAAATGTTAGTCTGTTCAGATAACAGAATTTATATACACCTTATAAATAAAACTAAAAATCTTACCTTGAAGACTCAGGATCAAAATGAAAAAAACAGGACAAATTGTGTTTATCTTTTTGACACACCCTTCAATAATAATTGAAACACGACAGCAAAAATAACTTGCCCTACCCATCAAAATTCCTCGGTTCAAAACCCTCTCCTCAAACACACTAAAGTTTGCATCTTGAATCCCAAATCTAAGTATCCACAAACCCCATAAGTAAAATTTCCAAGTCAATCAAATTCAAGTCATCAATAAGAATATAAAAAACCCAACTTTACCATTTCATGATTGAAAAAATCGCAAAAAGTCACACCCCCAACAAATTGTGAATTAGAAAAAAGAAAAGAGAAATTAACAAGCAAGGAAGAGGGGCTTTGCACCTGAGACAGGTCCTAAGAAGACGATGATGTCGTTGAAGAGCACGCGCGCGGAGGGGCGAGTGTGTTGGAAAATTCGTGGTGAAGAGAGCTTTTTGTTTGTGCTGTGTGAAAGTGTGGAAAAATGGGAGATGAGGTTGAGTCTCTCTCTTATATAAATATTACTACTAACTCAGCTTCCAATTCATTAGTTTAATTGCATCTTTTTGGCTAAGACAAAAGTCTCTCTCTCTCTCTCAATTATGTTCTTCTTAGGCCTTTTGGGCGCTTTCTTTCTCTTCATTCTTCCTGTAATTGGAGCTGAGAGAAAAAGAGGAAACAATAATCTTTCCAAACCAATTCTCACAATTAAGGCATGCTTATGATTATTTTTCATCAATTCTTATCAAATCTTCTCCATATTTATTTATTTATTTATTTACTTATTCAATTTAATATCTACGTATTGTGTAGAAAAATTTATATTCGTCACTAATCAAAAATTATAGTAACCATGTTTTTTAAAATAATTATTAAGTCTAGTCTCTATACAATTAAAAACATTTTATTTTGTTATATATATATATATATATATATATATCATTTTTATTTGTTTTTATAAAAACTGTAGGAATTGAAGAAAAACTAAAAAGTACATAAAGAAATTAAAATGTGATATTTTTAATTATAGAAAAAAAATAAAGTTGATGAAAACATAAACATCAAAAAGTAATTAATATAAGTATTATAAAAATTAATAAATTTAACATATTTGATAGTCGAATGATAATATAAATACATATATTATTTATTGTTAATTATTTTACCAAACTAATCATTAAATTAGATAAATTAAAAGGGGTTTGGTAATTAAAATTATTAAAGTTGATTTAGTAATGAGAGTTAAAATAATATACATATGATCTTAAATATTATTGTAATTTTAATAAATAAAAAGTATTGACAATTAAATTAGATAAATTGAGGAGGGATTTAATCCAATAATTTGTACAATTTTATCATCAATAAATATAATAAATGATATAATAGGAAAAAATACACATAAAAAATATATCGTATAAATTATTGTATATTTTTTTCTGTACAAATATCATTTTCCTACTTCGATTGATGTAAATTATTATTATATAATAATGACAATGTGAGTGGTATGACCTTTGATAAATATTTTTACTTGGGGCGTATTAGCGTATATGTGATGAGGGCTTTTTTTACATAAATCAAGGGATAACATTTTACAAAATTTCTAGAACGGTTACATTTCTAAAAAAAATTGAGAATATAAGTGGTGTTTTGTTTTTTACATCATACATAAATAGTGCTAGAGAAGACGATATTTAAAGTGTCATATTTTATTATTTTTAAACCCGACTTATGACTTAATTTTTTAATTTAGATTAATATAAGCCATGTTTTCACCACGTGATATTTTGAGTTATTTATTTTTTAAATTTTAAATATATTTTTTTTACATTTTAAAAGTTGTGTTTTCAATAAAGCTATTTTTTAATTTAGTAATGTTTTCAGTCATTAACATTATGTTCAAGAATACCTGTTTTGGAGTGTGAGAGAATTTTCCCTTCTTTTTCTTTCATTTGGGGTTGAGTATGGAGTTAGGAAGCTTGGAGCAATTCTTGTTTCTTTCTTTTTCTCTTGGGATCAACTCAGAACTGAGTTAGCTAGAGTAGTGGAGAAGTTTGAGTTGATGAGTTACGACTTGTCTTCAAAATCAGAGCAAGTGGAGCTTTTTTCTCTTTTCTTCCGCTCTTGACAGATTTTGGTTCTTTGAAGAAGTAAGGGAAGCTAGAACTCGAATCATTATTATATTTTGAGTTGCATGTGGTTGGATCACCACTAAAGATGTGGTTCATGAGTAGGTTGGTTGAGTTGAGTAGGTTGCATGTCATTTGGAGTTGTGGGTGTTTTTGAATGATTTGGGTAAAATTGGATGATCTTGGTGTTTTGATGGATGCATGTGATGTTTTATGACATTTTTAAGTTGTATGTATGAATCTAGTAGTGAAAAAGAGTTGTAAATGGTGTTTAAGGAGATAAATTGTTAAGGGTAAATGAAAAATGAAGGGGGAAGCCATGAAAATGCAAAAAATTTCTACATTTAACACTGTAGTCGTGGTTGAGTGCTACAACGGTGGGGGGAAATGGGATGGCAGATATCCATTCTTGCAGTCGTGGTTGAGTGCTACAACGGTGAAAAAAATGAACTGGAAGAAATCCAGTACTATAGTTATAGAGAGAAAACTATGCTAGCAGAAATCCTATGCTGAATTGAGCGTTGCAGCGATAGAGGTAAATGATTGAATTTGGTCCTAATGTCTTCATAAAAGTTGTAGCCTTTGATGTTAGCTTTTCAATAAAATTGGAATCACATAAAAAAGAGGTCTAGAACTTCAATCATGACCTTTTTAGTGAGCAAAGGTCAAGTTGTCAATAATTAGGCAAACTATTACAAATTTTACAATTTTCAACTTGGTAGATGATGGAATTAGAACCCTAGTTCTTCACAAAAGTAGTAGAAAATCATTTTATCTTTCATATGAGATAATGATGAGTTTGATTGGATTAGTAAAACTCCAATTATGATGTGTTATGTGGGAGTTGTCATTGTATGTTAATTGTTAGTTACATGTTGAAAATGATTTGTACTAATTCCTTTATAGCATATGGCAATATATGATGTCCCAAGTTATTATATGATGAATTTTTTATATGGATGATGATGTATAAGGATGTTTAATGTTGTTTAAGTCATGATTGAAGTTGTTGTGTTTGAAACTACTATACATGTTGTAAGTTGTGTCTTAAGTTATTTAGTTGTTAAATTGTTTGGCTATTTTCAGTTGATTGTCAAGATGTTATTTCCATTGATGCATGTTTAAAGTTGTAAAGTTATTTTGATGTTGATTTTTTATATTACTTTGATGTTTTAAGTTGTCTTATAGTTGTAAGATGGATGTTGACAGTTGTTAAAGTTGAAAGTCGCTCTAGTTGCTTTAAGTTGATGTATGATGTTGTTTTCTCAAGATATGAATGTTGTAAAGATAGATGTATGTTATTTAAGTTGACATGATGTGACGTTGAAAGCTAAACGTTGCATGTCATTAAAGTTGTTAAGTTGAATGCTGAAAGATAAATAAGTTATTAAGTTGATAAGCTATAGATATGTGGGTTACATACATATCTTAGCTGCAATACGTAGAAACTAGAGTTAAAGATGTTTTTGAACTTTAATATCTCATTATGTGGATATACACTATGTTGAACACTTCAGTAAGTTGACTTCTGAATGAATACATTATTTTTAGTTTTCTCCTTTAGGTTCTATGTGGCAATTCGTGTGTGGGCAAGGTCGAGGCACACATGTATGAAGCAACCATATTATAGGGGCCAAGTCGAGTTATACTGATTACAAGTGACCAATCGAGCAAAGTATCGGATCAGGGACTTAGTCTCTAACCTATTATCAAAGGGTTGTGGTATTTGGAGGATAGTTAGTGAGTTAATCTCATAAGTGGCTTAATGTTATAGACTAATGTTACGTTAGGCTCATACCCAAATTGTGAAAGATAATATAGTGTTCATAACACATACATGCGGAATAATAGGATCTATTTGCATATAAATTATATTAAAGTTTGTGATGAAAACTTTTATCAGACAATTAGCTTCTCTTCAATAATGTGAAGATATTACATGTATCCACACCGAGACCAACCTTTATTTTTCAAACTCTTTGAAAAAGTAAAATAAAAATAAAATGCTTAAGAATTATATGTGAAAAAGGAGGTAGAAAAGATGGTAGAAAAACACATCTTCTTTCTGTGCAGTAGAAAGTCATACTTATAACACAATAAAGATCTTCTTTTCCTAAAATTAGGAAATTAGTAAAATATTTTATTTTGGATTTTCAAATAAAAACAATATCAAATATGTATCTTTATGAGATTGTATCATTTTTATAAAGATTATATTTTATTTTGTTTTTCAAATAAAAAATATCAAATATGTATCTTTAAGGGATTGCATCCTTTTTTTATAAAGATTCATATTTTATTTTGTTTTTTAAATAGAAACAATATCAAATATGTATCTTTGAGGATTTTCATCTCCTCTTATTTATCAGTATAAACAATATTGATCAAGTCTAATACTTTAATTATATATTCTTTATCAACTACTTTCTCCAATTTGAAATTCAAAAAATTTATATTATATATACTCTAAGTGCTAGCAAATAATATAATAATATTTCACTTTAAATTATTTAATTTGATCAAATTAAATACTCTTATTTAATCATCAAATGTTAAAATAATTCTTTTAATAGAGATTAGAACACTCGTTTGTGTGTAACCCTGGATGTTCAATACTAAGCTGGTAATAGATTAATCAAATTAATATATTAATCAAGGTAGACATCTAGCAATACTCCTTAACGTCCATATAGTATGAAGTAATATTTTACTTTCAAGAACTTAGAAGAACATATAATATTTTTCTTCCATCGTTACAACTCTTAGTTAACTCTAGAGCATGGTATTATTGTCAAACTCCATTAAGCTAACCTATCACGACTGACTTGAGAAATTCATTTCTTTTCAAAAAAAATTTATTGGCTAGGATACTATTTTATTAATAGAGCTCAAACTCATTACCAAGAGTTGATGGAATCCTTCTTAATTTATCATTAATTCTACAAGCATTTGATCATATCCAATATTCATTCAACTAGTGCCCTAAGGCATTAAATGTCTGAAATTAAAATATAATAAATTACTCGTTAATCATTGTGATAATCTCATGTCAAAGAAAAACATTTAGTTTCTTCTTGAGAAATTTTTATTGACGAATTAAGGTAATCTTAACCATTAGAAATCCTCAATTGAGTCAGTTCAAATGATCATACTCACATATGAATCATTTATATATGTAATTAATAAATGAAATCTATTAATCTTTATCCTATAAAGACATTCACATATATATTGATCTATTCAGATTTATTGATGTCTCATATACAATAATACTATGATCAAGAACAATTTAGATTAAAATAATAACATATTTTTGCTTCTCATTATCATAATCTTTATTATGAAAACAAGTCTAATTTTAATTAAGGACTTTATGTATTTAACAAAATGAAATTAATAACACTTTATCAATTTGGATATGATTACATGATGAATTAGATCTTGAGCATATTTAATTATTCTCCAACAAATTATTCTATCCTGACATAGTACCATACTTCCTTGTTTAAGTGACAAAACATGAGAAATATACTAGTCATTGTTTCTAACCTTGTGCTAGTCGATATTGCTAACCTTAGTGTCAATTGTAACGTAGGAAAAAGGAAAAAAAAAAAAAAAAAGGGGGCTAATTTAGTAGCCTGGAACGGGCCGTTCCCAATCTGGAACGGGACGTTCCAAGCTATTAAATTAAACTGAAATTCGTGGTTGGGAACGGGCCGTTCCGGAGGGGAGAACGAGCCGTTCCAAATTCTAGAACGGGCCGTTCTAGTTGGAGAACGTAAGCTGTGGCAAGTCATAAAGGAGCAACATCTTTAAATGAGGGAACACAAACTTTTCTGTTACATTTGTTGCTATGCCTTCTTCCTTTTCAACAATTTCTTGCAATTTATCACAAAATTCTATTTCAAGTTTCTCAAGTTCCTTAAGGTTTCTTGCCAAGGAAGCAGGAATTAAAGTTTGCAGGTTTTCACAATCACTAACAACAATCTGTTGCAAATTTTGAAAGATGGGAACTCCTGGACTATTCTTTTCCCAAACATGTGTCAGCTCCGATAGCCCTTCTAATGTCAATATCTTCAGCTGGGATGCTGTATCCATTATCTCAATGTCATTCACTTCAAAAATTCCCTTTACTTTGTCAGAATACCGTACTTCCAACTCTCTTAAGTTCTTTAAACAAGGAAGAATACCAGATGGAATTGCATATGGTAGAGTACACTTGTCCAGCTTCAAAATTAACACATTGCTCAACCATTTACTTTGTGAAACAACCTTACCATGCCAGTATGCTCCAAGCTCATGATCATCAGAAAAACACTCCTTGTCCACAGATTTAAAAAATTCCTGTAAATTTTACAAAAAAGTTTATCATCAGATATATAAACAACGTTACATATTTGCAATGTTTTTCATTTTAGCATCTTGAAATTGAGAGGAAAAACTACAGCACATTATAAAATGGATTAGAGTGGAATCTAACTTGCAAATCAAGATCATCTTACGATAATTTATCTTTCATTTCTTGTAACTGAGGTCAATTTAACTTGGTTTCAAGACATTTTTCAAAAATTTCTAGCTAAAAAATTGTTAGGTTCTTGACAAGGTCCGAAAGAGAAAGGGAATTATTCGTCCCTGAGTTTATTGAATCTTTTGAAAGAAAATGATTACACAAAGGAGGCTACTCCTTTCACACTGGAATCAGTCCAGTTGTTCACTTACAATAGTAATTCCTTACCCCCTCAGCCTAAACAACCAAACTATTTAAAGAAGACTGAAAACTAACTAACAGTAACCGTGAACCTAACTAATAGGTCAAAGGATCAAATAGATTTAATTAATTCCTATTTGTACCCTTCTTCCTATAATACACTCTTAACCCTCTATTTATCTCCTGTGGTTCCTGATGTCTAACAAAATACCGCCAACTGAATTTTGATTTAGGCTGCACCTTTTAATTGTCACCATTTTCTTGTTATTTAATCTTCAATCCAGGCTTTCTATGGTGACCAACTCTTCCATCATTGCAGGCATTGGATAATTTTAATACCACAGTTGTTTCTCCAATCTATTATGCATTG